AAAAAAAAAAAAACAAAAAAAAAAGTACCACGAGATAGTAACCGCAGGAGGAGAGTGAGGCATGCTTAAGAAGCCGAGGGAGGCGCCAGCCCCCCGCGCAGCCCCCGCGCCAAAGCCGAACCGGGGGCTAAACCCATCATCACCGCCTCCACCAGCAGCTGCGGCAGCAGAAGTGGCAAGAGAGGTGATCTCCAAGGAAAAGCCCCTCACACTCGACGCCCTTCTCACCAACGGCTGTAACGTGCGCGTCAGCGTCAACGACCTCGTGGCATACGAGTATGTCGACAAACAAAAACACTGGCAGTGGGGCCTCGCGACCGTCGCCGCGCTACCGGGCCCGCGGCTCGTGCAGCTGCTGCTCTGGCGCCACGACGGCACGCTACGGTCGAGTTCACAGGCACCCGCTACAGTCAACATTTCGGAGGAGGAGCGCAGAAAAGCGGTGCAGCGGCTCGAGCAGCTGCGGCAGCAGCGCGACCGCGTGCAGGAGGAGGCGGAGACGATGAACCGCAACCTTGCCTCACGACAGGCCGCATACGCGGCGGCGCGGCGCCGCATAGAGACCGAGGCGAATGCCGCCGAGCAGACACTGATGGAGGCGCGCACCCGCGTTAAGCAAATTGAGGCGCGCGACTGGCGTGAGATCCGCTGCTACCGCAACCCGCCTGCCATCATAGTGCTCGTGATGGAGGCAGTGCTCTCGGTGCTCGGCGAGCACTGCGTGTCGTGGACGCAGATGCAGTCCGTTATCCGCTCCAGCGACTTTGTACACAAAGTAGAACAGTTCGACCCCTCTCGCCTCAGCGACCTCGTAAAGCGGAACGTGTGGAAGAAATACATCTCGAACCCGCGCTTCACCTACGCGGACGCGATGAACGGCAGTCAGGCACTCGGCTATCTGCAGCAGTGGGTCGTCGCCCATGTGGCGACCGCCAACGCGACGGAGAGCCTCGTCGAGTATGACATCGCCCACGCCGACGAGCGGGCAGCGCTGTCGGGACTCGAGCAGCAGCTCGGCGCATTCCAGCGGGCGCTGCGGGAGTACAACAGCGAGGAGGACCGCCTCCGCGCGGTACTGGAGGGGGAGCCGCTGGTGTTGCGCAAAAAACCCCACAACGCTGCAACCAGTTGCAGCAACATCAGCAGCAACAGCGGTAACATCGGCATCGACAAGAGCAAAGAGAATGGAAGGGAGTATGAGGAGGCGGGTGAGGTGCAGATTATACCAGAGGCGGACCAAAACATGATTGTCCCACGCAATGGCCCCATACCACAGCCTATGGAAAGGACGAAGAACAACATGAGCGACCTCGACGACGAGCATGAGGAGCATATTCATGGCACGAACGCGATATGGAGCTTCACAGATGAGATCATCGTTACACTGCGCTCCGCCATTCTCTGTAACTATGACAAGCCGGAGGGCACAATTCTGCGGCTGACGCCGGAGCAGGTGCAGGAAATCGAGGATGCTCTGACGCGACGCAGCGGTAACTGGGATCAGGAGAAGCACGCAGACGACGAGCGACGCAAGCTGCAGAATGCCCTTGAGGACCTCCGCGGCCGGCATGCTCGCACGCTGAAGCGGCTGCAGGAACTGGAGAGTGGTAACCACGGTCTGCAGCGTGAGCTGGAGGACCGCGAGCGCGAGCTGGAGAGACTTAACCAGGCGATTAACGAGCACGGGGTACCGCTGCAGACGCCGCGGTACTCGGTGACAGGCTCCTCGCTCCGCTCCACACCACGCGCTGGCGTTGCTGCCGCCCAGCTGGCTGCTGCTGCTGCTGCCGCCGCCGCCACGCCCCTTGCTGATAAATTGATGGACGCCGAGGAGGACCCGGCGGAGAAGATCGCAGATCTCGAGGAGCGGCTCAGGCGCGCGCTGCACGACAACCCAACGGAGGCGCAGGTGCAGCTGCTGGAGGACGACCTCCGCGCGGTGCAGGAGGAGCTGCGACAGAAGAAGGAGGAGCTCGACAGCTTCCGCAACGCGATCTCGCCCAGCTACTACACCTCATCGGCGCTGCGTATGGATAAAGAGAGCACACCGGAGGCGCAGCTCGCCGCTGCGCAGAGGCAGATCGAAGAGCTCGAGGCCGCACTCGAGGAAGCGCTCGCAATCGAGCAGCTTCGGGACCAGGAGCAAGGGGAACGGCGACAGCCCTCTGTGGATGACGCCAATAAGGTGGATGAGCTGCAGGCGCATGTCCAGCGCATGCAGGCGGAGGTGCAACAGCAACGCCGCGACGCCGAGATCGCGGCGGAGCGGTTGAACGACGAGCTGCACGCACACGAGGCGACGCGAGATACACTGGCGGCGAAGGAGCAGGAGCTGCAGGCGCTGTGGGAGCGGCAGAACAGAGCTGAGGGAGAGAAGGAGTCCACGCGCGATGCCCTGCACGCCAGCGAGGGGGAACTCGAGAAACTCCGTGACCAGCTGCGGGAGGCGGAGGAGAACGTGCAGCAGCTGCAGGACCAGGTGGAGGCAGCACGGCTGCTGGAGGGGGAGCGACAGCGCGACACGGCGCAGACACGCGAGGACCGCGTGGTAAAGATGCGCGGCGTGATCGACCAACTCATGCAGGAATCGCATCGGCAGAAGCATGAGGCGAATTCCACCGGGTCTGTCCTCGAAGAGGTTCGGGCATTACTCGGGAATAAGGTTGTGATCTAGGTGCTGGGGCTCTTGTTGTTGTTGTTGTTCCCTGATTTTTTTTTTGTTTCACACCCACCGCTCTACCTTTGCCAACATTTATTGTTTTCGTTTTGCCGTTTCATTCATCTGTGCGGTGTGCACGGAGAGAGAGAGAGAGAGAGGGAGAGAGAGAGAGAGAGAGGGAGAGAGAGAGTGAGAGAGAGGCGACATATCTGCACATCCGGGCCGTGTGTATATCTGTGTATATAAGGGACATCGGCGCCTGAGTTTGTGTGTGCATATATGATGTATCTCTATATA